AATACAAAACATTGTTCTCATGAGTACGCCCAGGGCGTTGTCTATGTAAAATATGTGTGCTATTGTTCTTTGTTTAAAAAGAAATTGGTTAGTGAACAATTTCATGATGCCATTTCTAACCTTAAGTCTCTAGGCGGGACCCGGAAAGAAATGTGTACACATCAGAAATCAAAGGAAATAAAATAATAATATCAGAATTTTAAAAGATTTAAAACTATATAAATTCAAATTTAAAAAATTGAAAACAATTTTTGTAAAAATTCATTAATTACTATTTTTTTCTTATAACAAGAGGCCATTATATTTTATTCATAAAAGCAAGTAAAAGCTTTTCTAATTAAATAATGTTTTGCTTTTATTTCATTTTTTTATCTTGAGATTTTCTACAACTAGAGATCCTGTTTGTCCCCCAAAATTTGATGATTTACATCTCGGAGAACTTATCCTCTTCAGGAATTAAAAACTTAAAACTGTCTTTTTCAGGGCAGTTCTCATCGGCTTAAAAACTGTCATTTTCAAGACCACGATTCTTAATGGCTACGAAACTAAGTACCTCCATTTTTCCTATATAAAATAGCATAGCTTGATGAAAAGGACCCCAAACTTGATGAAAACAAAATTTTATCGTCAAAATGTTTACGTTATTATTAATAGGAAAGAACAGAGTATTTTTTAATTATTTTTTGCTCCTTCCTAACACTTTTGAATTTAAAAAAAATATCTTGTACTTTTTATGTCTAAATGGTGTAACAGAGCTGGAATCGGACATTTTTGCGCATGTTTTCCAATAAAGGAACACTTTAATTTGGAAAGTCTTTCAAAAATCAAATAATTCCCAGATTTTAATGAAATTTTCAGGACTTATTCACAATTGAATTAATTTATTTTTGAAATTATTATTTTTAGAAAACCTTGGTAAAAATATTTTTTACATCTGTACACCCTCACTTTCATGAATTTTCTAGAAATTAAAAAATGAAAACAATTTTTGTAAAAATTCATTATTTACTATTTTTTTTTCTTAAGACGATAGTGTCTATAATATATTTTAGTCAGAACAGTAATTAAATTTTTTTTTTAATTAAATAATGCCTTTGTTTTCAATTCAGAGCAGATTTTCAGTAACTGGGGATCCTGTTTTACAAAGCGAAATTGATCATTTAATTTCACCAAGGAGTTCTGCTTTTGACTAATATAAACATTAAACATCCAAATTTCATAAAATTAAATAAATGTGACAAAATTACCAATATTTTACAAAACAAGATTTCTCAAAAAATTTCATTCATTTGTCAATAAATCCTGAAAGTTTAATTAAAATCCGACAACTATTTTATTTTTGCAAGAATTTCCAAATCAGTATGTTTTCCGGCGCAAAAATGAAGCTAATAATCTTTGCATCCCAACCCCACCCGCTGATTTCTAACCAAAATTTAGAACGTTCGAATAAGATTAAGAAAAATATAATTTAATAATCAAAAAATACTTTGGCCATTCCTCTTAATAATAATATTTAAAAAATTGACGATAAAACTTAGCTTTTATTGTTTGGAGCATTTTTTTCATCTTGGTATGCTAATTTTTTAATGAATCAATTTAACTATCGACATTACGGTATAAGAACTATAATAAAATTTAATTTTTCCCTGTAAAGAAATGAAACCAAAGATTACGCAAAAAATTAAACTTTATCATTAGTGTATTTGCTTTTATGAACAAAAATTTTATAAAGAATATTAAATTAAATTTAAGAGAAAATGTTACATCAAAAGTTAATTTAGTTATTCGAAAATGTTAAACAAACTTCCAAGTGTCTAGAGGGATATTCTGAAATTGCAATTTTTTTGTAAATTTTACACAAAGAAAAGTTTGTTTTCACAATAAACATAAATAAGTAAGAAAATAGATAAATCTTATAATTACTTAAATTAAATAAGCTACAGTTTTTCCTAGTGTAAAAAAATATGATTTGCATTGTGTTAAGCCGACTACAACAGCGAATTACCGTAAGCCCAAACCAAAACTAAAATGTATCGTTCCGGTGGAATGGGTAGCTTTTGAAATAAACCCCTTAGTTTCACAATGAGTAAATCCTGTACTAAAGATCTTTTCAAAAAATAGTCCTGTACTATAGATCTTTTCAATGAATAGTCCTGTACTATAGATCTTTTCCATAAATAGTCCTGTATTATAGATCTTTTCAATAAATAGTCCTGTACTATAGACCTTTTCAATAAATAGTCCTTTACTATAGACCTTTTCAATAAATAGTCTTGTACTATAGATCTTTTCAATAAATAGTCTTGTACTATAGATCTTTTCAATAAATAGTCTTGTACTATAGATCTTTTCAATAAATAGTCTTGTACTATAGATCTTTTCAATAAATTGTCCTGTACTATAAACGTCTTTTGTGCTATCTGATAACTTTAATCTGCTTTTAATTTAGTTTATATTGCTCGGATTGACTATACTTTGTTGGTATGTAAAACACAAGTCTTGACACAGTAGATTAAATAAGACGCTTCATTGGATCTAAAATTCGAAGGTGCATTGGGACAACGAAAAATACCTTTCAAAACCTAAGCATAGTATTAAGAAACAGAACAATTTCGTTAGAAAGAAAGAAAATAGTAGTGAATATTACTATATGGTAGTGAATGCTGAACAATCTCCTCATAGATAAAAAAAGATACTTGAATCAATAGAAATGTGGTTCTACAGAAGGATGTTGAGGATACTAAACATATAAGCATCGAAAATTTTTTAGAGAAAATGCAAACAAAACGGGCACTTATAATTATACTTATCAGAAAAGGACAGTTGAAATTTGTGGACATAATGAAGAAAAGAGGGTTTAGAAAATTTGATACTCACAAGACAAATTGAAAGCAAGAGAGGCAACGCATAACTTACATAACGAGATTGAGTAATTGGAAAAAGACAAAATTTATTAAGAGCTATAAAGGATAGGAAATTGTGGAGAGTCACGAACGTCAACGTCCTGAAGAGACACATAGAAGACGACGACGACGACATCGGATGTCAGCTTTATATAAGATGTTCCTTATCAAAAACACGGCTGCCTATCTAAGGCGTAAGTCAGCGTTTATTTCATCATATCCAAGATTAATCTTTAGTTTTCCGCAGATAAGGGAATTTCCTTCGAATCACGACCTTCCATTCACCCCCGCCCCAAAAAGAAAATATGCGTTACGCCTGGATGATTTCTAAATGACCAAAACTGTTTGCATCGTCAGTTCCTGGTTCAAGATTTATTATCCAGTTCCTGATGACCATCGTATCTGATGTGTTGGACATATCGCTATGGCACAGTGGTTAGCTAGCTACTTTTTTTTTTTTTTTTTTTACTATTGTTCACCCAATACAAGGTCGCAATAACTTTTCAAGACAGTCGGTTACTGAGTGAGGTTGTTGTAAAGCCAAGGCTATCATAACAGCGAAGAACATTTTCCCGAAAACTGGCTTCACCAAAATCGTAAATTGCTGGAAGGTAAGTCCTTCATGAAAATAATCAACCAACACGGATTATCGGATTAAAGAGTGTTAAAAGATGTGATTATTGTATTTTAATTCGTCTCCTTCCTTAATTCCATAGCTAGTAATAGCGTACTTTACACCCCGCCAACACCTCATAAATAACGGAGTATTCTGTTTTGATTACAAGGATGGATTGATCTTTTTGTTTAAAGGCATATCGATTCTTTATGGCTCATTTCATGACAAAATTTAATTTTCTGAATACAATTTTTATTATGAAATATATTTTGAACGCAATTGTATGCCTTCAACTATAGATAAACGGTATTGCTGGACAGTTTGCTTTAAAAATGTACTGTTGGTAATTTTGCTATAAATATGTAATGTCAGTCGCCATCTTTTGACTTTCTGAAACCTGTTCTTTTATTGTCCTTTCTCTTCACTAAAATCTTCTCATTCACTTTCACTCCCAGTAACTCCTTTGCGTCTTAGGTATTATAGTCTTGTTTGTGGAGAAAGGCTTTAAAATTAAGATACGTCGAGAACATTGTATTGTTTGCAGGAACAGAAGACAACACTTGCATTTTGTATAAAAGTGAATATTCCGTCGGGACTATTTCTAACAGACAGGATATAAATATAGAAAATATTTTTGAACTCTCATCAAAATTAATAGAATTATTTTTAAAATTATTTAGAACAAACAAGGTTTCAAGAGAAGAAAAAAAAAGATTAATTGAAAATTCCTTCTTTTTTCGTTTCCATCTGGTTTTAAATCTATTTTCCAAAAGGACGAAAGAAAACGAGCCCTTCACTAACGCCATCTTGATTTTAAAATCTGGACTTACTGATTTCACAAGCTGAAAAATACTCATCGGTATGACCATTCCAGACAGCACCTGTATTAGGTACAAAAGAGTAACAGAACGATTCGTGATTGATTGATTTATTTCTTACGGCTTATTAACCTTTTGCGGGTTATTTAAATCCAGAAAATATTTTTACATTGTAAGAATTCTTTGAGATAATAATGAGTTACTGATACAAATCCTACTAATTAACCCATAGCGAGGGGGGAAGATGTTGATTCATATCATTCATAAAGTTATTTGCGTGTAAGTGAATAAACCGAACCCGACTGGAATTGGAACTCGGCTAATCGATTTCCAATTTTGAGCCGTTATCCATTACCCCACGCGCACATCCAAGCATACATCACTTGACATTCCAAAGCGGTCATTCATCTAGGGTACTGATCAGGCTTGACGGGAGAACGATCCATGTAATTGGTACTAATGTACAGCCTTAACACTTGTAACTCCGGACTCAAAGCATCAATTTTATAATATTTTCATTAAAGAGTAGTTAGACAAGGGTGAGTATTCTTACCGGATTTATTTAACATCTGTGTTAGCAACAATGAAAATGCGGGACGTGAAATGTGTGCACAGATCCCAACCATCGAATCTGCGTATTCCATTGGAGATGTGATCCTAGTCATGTGTCCACGCACCCACAAAGCTGAATTAAATAAGTTTGGTATCTTTGAGCGTTAGGAATTCATATGTAACAGATCGTCATTCAAGAAATTGAAATGGTCATTATAAAATAAGAGTTTAATTAAAACTTTTAGAGTGGAACAGAACTGTATCTACTTTCACATTTGTAGATGCTCATTCAAGATCACAATTTTACACAGTAGAATTTTTGAAAATACGCTGACGGTTATTGAAATCTTCACAGTATTTAGTATTGTTGAAGTTATCGCTGACATTTTTTGTCGAAACTTGCAAGCTCTACATTTCGATCAATTTCGAAAGCCAATAGCTGAAATTTGAAGAAGCCGATTTGTTTGCGAAAATACTTTGACAAAAATTCTACTTCACGGTTTAATCATTTCTTTAATTTAATTTTATCGACTTCATAGTAAACAATATTTTTTAAGAAAATTTCTTTTTTTCCTTTTTAACGGTGAAGAATAAATTCTTAGGATTTCTTACTCTTGGGCATGCAACATACAACTGACAATGCGTATTTATTTATTTCTGGAGCCAAATTCCAACTTTTTGAAGAGTTTGGCCTTGTGATTTTTACCCTTACCAGTTTACAATTCTCCCCCTATGTATGGCTACTTTACAAGGTTTGAATGACGGACGGACGGAAGTCATAGAATATTATATATAGATGCTTTGCAATAAAGCGTCAAATACATCAAACGAAATTGACGCAGTAATTCAAGAAAAAATAGGTTTTAAAAAATAAACAAAATTTATGCATAATTTTAAAAAGAATTATCGGTTTTCAAAACGGGGGGCAAAAACATCAAACGAAATTGGCACAGCAATTAAGGGAATTTTTTTTTTTTTATCTTAAAGGAGCTAAATTTATGCATAAATTTTAAAAGGAATTGCCAATACTCAAAATGCAGGACACAAACATGTTCTGCATCAGTTACCGCAGGAGACATCTTCTTTCAGAATCAAAATACGGGACAACCCGCATTTTGCAGGACGATTGGCAACCCTTATACAAGAGAAACGATCATAAAAGAACTAGAGACACAATCAGAATTTATTATCAGTAGATATAAATCTTAATAACATGGTGGGCTTGCCAAGTCAGACGTTAAGTCTTGAAGATTCCTAATCTATTATCCGATTTTGAATATTGTTTTATTTAAAATACACTTTTTTTGTTCGATTGTACATATTTTCTGAAAAGAGAACTGTCGATATTTTCCGCATATGAAAATAATATTTCTTTTTTTTTTAGCGTTTCACCCCAAGCAGGGCGAGAAGCCACTAGCACGCAAGGGGTTACAGAGAATTGGAGTGAGATCAAATAGGAGTGATAGAGGAAAGGATGAAGAGAAGGATAGGGGATAGATCAGGGCATCTGGAGACCCCGATTGACATTACATTTGAATAGTTGGAGATTATAGCTATCAGGGAAACAGGAAGAGGGTAGGGAGTTCCACAGGCGAGAGGTGCGAGACATGAAGCTATTGAAGTAAAAGAGACGGTTACATTTAACAGTTTTGACAGTGAAAGGATTTGAGCGAGATGCCAGCCTAGTAGAACGCTTAAATTCATGAAGTCTGGGAACCAGCGAAAGCAGCTCATCGGAGCAGTTACCATGAAAGTATTTGTAAAAAAGACAAAGGGTGGTGATTACTCAATTATTATCGTTCCGATGTTGGACATGAACATAGTTAATGGAAATTCTGTTATTAAATCATGGTGTCAATATGATTCATCAGAATTCAAAAAATTTTCGGAGAATCCTCGCAGAATATATGATGGCAGTTTTCTGGGGGTCCACAATCATGGTCTGAATTCCAATACTCCCTGCTTTCTATTAATCATCTGAGAAACTGCTTTTTACCTTCCATCAGCATGGCTAATGCTAATCTCCAGAGTTCTCTGTTGACATGAAGCAGAAAGATTATATTGAAACAATTAATAGCTCTGCTGCAAGGAAAGTTGCTTTACCGTATCGTCGTAGACAATTTTTTTCTCGGCAGAATCTCTTTTATATATTTGTAAATCTACCATTCTTCCATGCTTTGAATATTGCTCACACATATAGTCTGGTGTTGCTGCTATATATTTATAGATTCTTGATAAAATCCAAAGAAGAATCTGCAATATCATTGGTCCTGACTTGGCATCTCGGCGTCAGTCACTTCCCCACTGCTGTAACTTAGCTTTCCTGTGCCTTTTCTATAAATACTTTGATGGTAATTCTTCTAATGAGCTTTTCTCTATTATAACCAGACTTTATGAATTTAAGCGCAGTACTAGATTGGCAGCTAGGTCTCATCATTTTACAGTTGAATTGGCTAGATGTAACTATAAGTTCTATTGCTCACCTCGCTTGTGGAACTCGCTTCCGGTTTCTTGTTTCAAAAAATTACATGCAATGTCAAATGTTGTCCAATGTCTTCTTTATTCCACTTCTTTTAGTCTCTCATAATATTTTCCACAATCCTAAGATACGCAGATGATACAGTACTGATAGCATACACAGAAATTAATACGCAGATGATACAGTACTGATAGCATACACAGAAAAGAAATTACAAAACCTCCTACGGAAGGCGGCGAAGGAGAGCGAGAAAAAGGGACTAAGCATAAACTACAAGAAGACATAATGCAGGGTTACTAGTAAAAGGATGAACCCGAAATGCAATTTTCAGGTCAGGGACACTAGAATCAAGCAAATGCGGAAATTTAAATATCTGGAAAGCGTTCTGACAGAGGACGGTAAGTGCGACACTGAGATCCGTAGGCGTATTGGGATGGCCAGGGACGCATTCCAAAAGCTGGGCAGAGTATTGCGAGACAGGAGGATATCTTTGGTAACGAAGAAAAGAACACTGAGCTGTGACCACTATTTCAGACAAGTTCTTAGGTTAGTAAGTATTTGTCTATATTTCTGAGATGAGGTATTATGTACACTATTTACATTATTCGGACTATTATCCTCATCTTTCTCGCCATATTTATTACAACCTTTCGGCCATTCAGTATCTGTCTATATTTCTGAGATGAGGTATCATGTACATTATTTACATTATTCGGACTATTGCTCTCATATTTGTCGCCATATTTATTACAACGTTTCGACCGTTGAACGCTCCGGCCTTCTTCAGGGGGTTGGAATGTTGAACTGAACCCTTTATTTCACCACCTGAAGAAGGTCGGAGCGTACAACGGCCGAAACGTTGTAATAAATATGGCGACAAAGATGAGGACAATACTCCGAATAATTTAAATAGTGTTAGTAAATATTGTTGCAAATTTTTGTACCCAATTTCTGACCGGAATTAAGGCGCCGTATCTCTCCTCTTTGAACTGTGGAGAAAACTAGCCCCGAGGATCTCAACCCTGCGGTGGCACCTTCCACATTGTACTAAAGAAGTGAGTTTTTTTGTTTGTTTTTTTTTTTTTTTTTGGTGGGGTGGGGGGAGGGTCCATCACCAACGTGACAATGATAACGGGAAATGGGCAATTTGTGGACTTAGCGCATATGTACGTGTATTATCTGTCCACGTTAAAATATCCTTGTATCCCTCCTCTCGCATTGGAGAGGGGAATAAATATCAAGGAATAACAATAGAAAGACTACACAGGATGTAAATTATTGTCCCATTTTAATATTTCGAGCTAGACCTCAAATCCGAGCTTCGAAAAATAAAGAATAAAAAAAATTTAAATGACACCTGCAGATAATCGCTTTACGCGACTCAGGACTAGCCGTAGGTATCAGTCATAGGGAGTGTACCACCAAACACTAACACAAGTCCGTTAATTTGTTTGGAGACCATGGTTGTAAAAAGACAGTTGACTAGCCATTAGAGTCTACGTGACAATTCGTCCTCGTCAAATATCCATCAAGCCATAAAACCTAATTTGCTTATGTCTTGCGACTAAATCTCAAGTCTGTTCATATCTATCTATCTATCTATCTATCTATCTATCTATCTATCTATCTATGTTCATATCTATCTCAATCTGTTCATATCAATCTATTTATCTTAGTGTGTTCATATCTATCTATGTATCTCAGTATGTTCATATCTATCTATCTATCTATCTATCTATCTATCTATCTATCTATCTATCTGAGTGTTTTCATACCTATCTATCTATCTATCTATCTATGTTCATATCTCAATCTGTTCTTATCAATCTATTTATCTCAGTATGTTCATATCTATCTATATATCTCAGTATGTTCACATCTATCATCTATCTATCTATCTATCTATCTATCTATCTATCTATCTATCTATCTATCTATCTAAATCTGTTCATATCTGTCTATTTCAGTGTGTTCACATCTATCTATCTATCTATCTATCTATCTATCTATCTATCTATCTATCTATCTATCTATCCCAGGGGTCCCTAAACTCCGACGCGCGATGTCAGTTCATACGCCCCATCCCCGTCGCCGATCTGTGCCACAAATGATCTCAAATATAATTTTTTATATGGAATTATCATTTGTAGTTAAACTTGCTATGTAGAACGAATTAAAGTCAATGTAAGAATGCCAAAATTTGTCCAATCTGATTTTTGCATCTGACAATCATATAAGTTTTAGGGACAATCATTGAACTGAAAGGAAGAAATTTCTTTAATTTTCAGTGTTTCAAAGAGTTTTGCAATGGAATCGCAGATATTTCTGAAGAGGATTCTTCATGACTTAAACATATTTAGAGAGATTTTCAAATCTCGAGAGAACTGAGGGTGACATTCTTCTGTTACAGAATCCTTTTGATGACATGCCAGTTGAACTACAGCTGGAGCTCGCTGATTTCCAAGAAAGTGACTTGTTGAAAGCGAAACACAGAGAAGGAAAACTTCTTGAATTTTATCGCCGCTTAACTAATGATGAGTTTTCAAAGTTGAAGAAATTTGCTTCTGGTATGGCATCATTGTTTGGAACATCTTATGTGTTAGATTAAACATTTTCAAAAATGAAGTAAGTAAAGTCAGCAAAACCAAACGAGGTTGACTGATGAACCAATTCTTTTGGCTGGATGCAGCAATTCCAAAACAAAATTGATTCTAACTTTAAAAGTTAACACCAGTTTCACAAATCTCACTAAACTTTTTTTGCTCGAATGTGTACATTTGAAGTGATATAACTATTTTATTGCTGTCGTCTTCTTTGATAACTTTTTGGTAAATAAATGTTTGTTGTCTTTATTTTTTTGTGCAGTCAGTGTATTGTATTGAACAAAGTAGTTATTTATGTAAGTAAATGCACTGTTTTTTTTTTTTTTTTTTTTTTTAAAATAAACAGTATTAATTACATTTACCGGCCCGAACATTCAAGAAATTTCGAATAAAATAAGTGCTTCTCCGACAGGAATCGAACCTTTAACCCCAATAGGAACCGTCATTTAATCTGACGTGCTATATCAATCACATATAGTGAAGCGACTGGCTACCAAAGTCCAAATTACTGTTTTTAAACAACAGGTCTTTGCCAATCTTTCCCGAACGGCTATATCTGCTCACGAAACGTAAACAATGACAACGTTTTATAAAATGGATTAAGCCTAACAATTATTTAACATACTTTTGTTTATACATTATTTTAATAGACACAATTTATTTAAGTAAATGCACTTTTTTTTTTAAATAAACAGTATTAATTACATTTACCGGCCTGAATGTTCGAGAAAAAATGTGCTTCTCCGACAGGAATCGAACCCGTGCCCTATACGTAAGGCTCAATTGATCAGACGTGCTATACCACTCATTAACAGAGAAGTGTCTGGTCTGTCCAAATTACTGTATATAAACAACAAATCTCCGATGATCTTTCCGAAACGATCTGCTGACGAAACGTACCTTAACGTAAACAATGACAACATATTATAAAATGGATTAAGCCCAAAATTTAAATATATTTTCTGTTCATAGCTTATTTTATATGATACAATTTATGTAAATCCTCTGTTTATTTTCAATAAGTAGTATTAATTACATTTACCGGCTTGACTGTTCCTGAAATATATATATATATTGTTTATACGTTAATTTTATCGATACAAATATTTAAGTAAATGTTCTGTTTATAATAAACAGTATTAACTATATTTAGGGGCCTGAATATCCACGAAATATCGTAGAAATTATGTGTCCTTCGACAGGAATCGAACCTGTATCCTACACGGAACAGTCATTTGGATACACATTTTCTACGATATTTCTCAGACATTCATTCAGGGCGGTAAATCTAATTAATACTGTTTATTATAAAGTAAACAGAGAATTTATTTAAATATTTGTACCTATAAAAATAACTTATAAACAGAAAATATATTAGAATAGTTGTCGGATATAATCTATTTCATAATATATATATATATATATATATATATATATATATATATATATATATGTAGATAGAGAGAGAGGAAAATTTGATTAATTTTTATTTAATTAATTAATTTATTTAATTTTATTTTATTTTTATTTTTTTCACAAATTCTTGCATGTGTTTTCCTTGTGTATCACATTCAACGAAGGATGTTTAAAAGAAAGGTTACTGCCCAAATATACATTAATATTTTTATACATACATACATATATGTGTGCGTGCGTGTGTGTGTGTGTGTGCGCGTGCGTGTGTGTGTGTGCGTGTGTGTGCGTGCGTGTGTGTGTGTGTGATATTATATTTCTAATTATATACTGGTTATAAATCCTTCCGGGTGGCATAATCTGCGCCTCTTCTGTCGGGCCGGGTGGTCGCTCTGGGTGGCTAAGCCATATACCCGGCTCGCTCGTCGTAATTTCCTGCGCATCTTTCTGGATGTGCGTTTTTGAACGACCATGCTAAATCGTCTGACCAGACCTAAGTGGGTAATAATTGTCGCCAGTATTTACGTTCTTGAGGCCTGAAATCAAAACCAAAACACTTACAATATTTCACACTTCCTTAATGTTCTTCGCTTGACCTTTGTTCGTTTTTATTACCAGGTAACCCGAAGGATTTGGCTCTCATTGTGAACATGACAGTTTCGCTTTTCGTACAGAAGTCAGTCGTTTTATTTATTTGTTTATATTTTAATCTTTCACCGTCAGATAAAATTCTATTGTGTTATACGTGTGGCGCGTCGCTTAGAGTTGGTATAAAAAATAAAGCGAAAAAGACAAACTTGGCGTTTTATGTCACCGATCGGTGAAGTCAAATAATATAGAGACTTTTTTCCCTGCTCCTTTTATCCTTTAACCTTAAAGAGAACCATTTTGTTTATTTGATGCATGTGGGGTCTTGTTTTAGCAAGGTTTATTGCGTGGGTGTAAAGGTGGGTTTTGCTTTGTTTTTTATTGAATCTCTATTATATATATATATATATATATATATATATATATATATATATATATATGTGTGTGTGTGTGTGTGTGTGTGTGTGTGTGTGTGTGGTTATAAAGCTAAGAAAACAAAAAGAAAAGGGATAGTCGGGTTGACGTATAAAGCTGAATTTTGACCACTTTATTTGGATGATGAATTTCAAACTGAGTGCACGGCAGGAATTTACAACCCGAACTTTATTTCCTGACAAAAAAACAACAAAAGACTGAGTCCAGATGATTGCTTTTTATACAATATATGGCCAAATATAATAGGAAGATTGTGCTGCGCCATTGGGTTGATGTATCTTGTCCTGAGTGTCAAAATTCCATATCTTAACATTTATCTAGGTGAGATAAATGTGTGCAGTCTACCAAACTAAAGTATGAAAGAATGTAAACCTAAATGAAAAAGATAAATCCAGGTAAAAAAAAAAAAAAAAAAAAAAGGAGACAGGTAAAAAATGTCACTGGAAAAAAGGTCACAGGAAAAAATAACGCGAGAAATGTCAGCACCGTAAATGTGCTTTCTCTACAAATACTTTCATGGTAATTGTTTTGATGAACTCTCCTCTATTGTGCATAGACTTTATGAATTTAAGCGCAGTACTAGATTGGCGGTTAGGTCTCATTATTTTTACAGTTTCTTTTCTCGCACTTCTTGCTTGTGAAAATCTCTTCCGAGTTCTTGCTTTCCAGTTAAGTTTAACCTTCAATATTTTAAGTTGCTTTGTTACCTTTCTGGGTTATAAAATGATTGAATATATATATATATATATATATATATATATATATATATATATATATATATATATATATATATATTTGTCGAAATTTTGTAATTATAGTAAGTTTGAAGTAAGTTAGAGGATATCTTTCCGATCCGAAGTTGCACTGGACTATCGGAAGATGCCTTCCAAAAGCTAAGTAAAGTGCTAAGAAACAGGAAAAATACGTTAAAAATGAAGAAAAGAATAATGAACTGCTATGTGCTATCTATCCTCCAATATGGCCGAAAAAGTTGAACAATTTCCTTGCAGATGAAGATGAGACTCAAAGCGCCAGAGATGTTGATGTACATTAATTTTATCAGCCACAAAGCAGACTGGTTTGTCTCATGGATCAACACATCTGAATCCGATGTTGTTGCTGAGCTGACATTTTGATCCCAATCACCAATCAGCTTTTGTTCTAATTTCATTTATCGAACTTTTAATGAAATTGACATTTTTTTTATTTATTTTTGCATTCAATGTTTTTTTCATTCTTTTCTCTTCTTTTCATTATTACTTCAATGTTTCTCTTGTTATTTCTTTCATCCTTTTTTCACTCTTTCTTTCTTTCTATTCTTTCTTTCTTTCTTTCTTTCTATTCTTTGTTTCTTCCTTTCCCCCACTTCTTTCTTTCTTTCTTCAATGTTTCTCTTTTATTTCGTCTATCTTACTTTTCCTTTCTTTTTCTTTTCTCTTTTTTGAATGCTTCTCTTGCTTGCTTTCTTTCTTTCTTTCTTTCTTTCTTTCTTTTGCATTCTGCATTTTTTTTTATTTCTTCAATGTTTCTTTTTTCTTCACTTTTTTCTTTCTTTTTTTCTTCTTGGCTTTCATTATTTCTTCAATATTTCTCTTTTTCTTTCTTTCTTCAATTTTCTATCTTCCTTATTCTTTCATATTTCTTTCTTCCTTTCTTTCTCTTCTTTCTATATTAAAATGTTTCTCATTTCTTTCGTCTCCCTTTTTCTTTGTTGTTCGTTGTTTGTCTCAATTTTCAGTTTTTTTTCTCGGTTTTCTTTCTCTTCTCTTCTGCTTTTTTATTTCTTCCTTTTCTTTCTTTTTTCTTCTTTTCTTTTTCTTTCTTTTTTTTCTTTTTTTTCCTCTTTTTCTTCTTTCTTTTCATTTTTCCGTTCTTTTCTTTTCTTTCTTTCTTTAATATTTATCATTTCATTATTTCTTCACTGTTTCTTTTTTTCTCCGCCTTTCTTTTTTTCGTTCTTTCTTTCTTTTTTCTTTCGGCTTTGTTCCTTTTTCTTTCTTTTTTCTTTCTTTCTGTTTTTCAGTGCTTTTCTGGCTTTCATTTCTTCTTTCTTTTGTCTTTTGTTCATTTTTCTTCACTGTTTCTTTTTATTTCTCTTTCTTTCTTTCTTTTTTCTTTCTGTCTTTCTTCAATGTTAATCTTTTCTTTCATCTTTCATCCTTTTTCTTTCTTTCTTTCTTTCTTTATTCTATCTTTCTTTTTTTTCTTATTTTCTTTTCTTTTTTTTTTTTTGCTTTTCATTATTTTTCCTGTTTTTCTTTTTTTTTTTTTTTGTTTGTTTTTTCTTTTTTTTTTTCTTTCTTTCGTCTTTATACCAATTTCTTCCTTTTTTGCTTTTCTTTTTTTTTAGTGCTTTTCTTTTCTTTTTTCATTGTTTCTCTTTATCTTCGTCTTTCTTTGTTTTCTTTCTTTCTTTTATTCTTTCTTTCTTTCTTTCTTCAATGTTAATCTTTTCTTTCTTTCTTTTTCTTTCTTCCTTTTTCTTTCTTTTTTTTCAGTGTTTTTCTCGCTCTTCGTTCTTTCTTTTGTCTTCTGCTTTTCATTATTTCAATCACTTCTTTCTTTTTTTCTTTCATTTCTCTCTTTTTTTTTTTCTTTCTTTCTTTCTTTCTTTTCTTTTTTTCTTTCTTTTTTTTTTCTTTCTTTCTTCTTTCCTTTTCTATTCAATTTCCTTTTTTTTTTCTTTTTTTTTTTTTTCTTCCTTTTTTCTTTCAATTTCTTCTTTAGTCTTCTGCTTTTCATTATTTCTTTAGTTTCCCTTTTTTCAGCCTTTCTTTTATTCGTTCTTTCTTCAAAGTTGAATTTTCTTTCGTCTTTCTTCCTTTTTCTTTCTTCCTTTTTCTTTCTTTTTTCACTGCTTTCATTCTTTCTTTCATTCTTTTTTCATTATTTCTTCAATTTTCTTTTTTCTTTTCCTTTTCTTTTCATTCTTTTCTTTTTTTTTTCTTTCTTTGTTTTTTTTTTCATTCTTTCTTTCATTTTTCCTTTTCTTTCATTCCTTTTTCTTTCTTTTTTATTCAATCATTCTTTTTTTTTCCCTTTCTTTCTTTTTTTATTTTTCTTTGTTTTTTTTCTTTTCCTTATTTTTCTCATTTTTTTTTTCATTATTTATTTTTTTCTTTTTCCCTTTTCAACCTTTTATCTTTTCTTGTTTCTTTCTTTTTTTATTTATTCATTCTTTCATTCATTCTTCGTTTTTTTCTTTTTTTTTCATTATTTATTCAATTTCTTTCTTTTTTCCCTTTCTTTCTTTCTTTTTATTTTTTGTTTCTTTCTTTGTTTTATTTTGTTCATTTTTCATTCTTTCTTCGTTTTTCTTTCGTTCATTCTTTTTTTTCATTATTTCAATTTTTTTTCCTTTTCCTTTCTTTTCAACCTTTTATCTTTCTTTGTTTCTTTCTTTTTTTTATTTATTCATTTTTCATCTTTTCTTCCTTTTCCCTTTTTTCATTATTTATTCAATGTATCTTTTCCTTTTCTTTCTTTTTTTTATCTTTCTTTGTTTTTTTTTTTTTTATTCATTCTTTCATTCATTTTCGTTTCTTTCATTTCTTTTTCATTATTTATTCAATGTATCTTTTTCCTTTTCCCTTTCTTTCAACCTTTTATCTTTCTTTGTTTCTTTCTTTGTTTTTTTATTCATTCTTTCTTTCATTCATTCTTCTTTTCTTTCTTTTTTTTCATTATTTATTCAATGTTTCTTTTTCTTTTTCCCTTTCTTTTTGTTTTATTTAACCTTTTATCTTTCTTTGTTTTTTTTCTTTGTTTTATTTATTCATTTTTCATTCATTCTTCGTTTCTTTTTCTTTTTTTTCATTTTTATTCAATTTTTTTTCCTTTTCCCTTTCTTTCAACCTTTTATCTTTTCTTTTGTTTCTTTCTTTTTTTATTTATTCATTCTTTCATTCATTCTTCGTTTCTTTCATTCTTTTTTTCATTATTTATTCAATTTCTTTTTCTTTTCCCTTTCTTTCAACCTTTATCTTTCTTTTTTCTTTTTCTTTGTTTTATTTATTCATTCTTTCATTCATTCTTCGTTTCTTTCATTCTTTTTTTCATTATTTATTCAATGTATCTTTTTCCTTTTCCCTTTCTTTCAACCTTTTATCTTTCTTTGTTTCTTTCTTTGTTTTATTTATTCATTCTTTCATTCATTCTTCGTTTCTTTCATTCTTTTTTTCATTATTTATTCAATGTATCTTTTTCCTTTTCCCTTTCTTTCAACCTTTTATCTTTCTTTGTTTCTTTCTTTGTTTTATTTATTCATTCTTTCATTCATTCTTCGTTTCTTTTTTTTCTTTTTTTTTCATTATTTATTCAATGTATCTTTTTTCCTTTTCCCTTTTTTTCAACCTTTTTTATCTTTCTTTTGTTTCTTTCTTTTGTTTATTTATTCATTCTTTCATTCATTCTTCGTTTTTTTTTCATTCTTTTCTTTCATTATTTCTTCAATGTATCTTTTTTCCTTTTCCCTTTCTTTCAACCTTTTTTCTTTGTTTTTATTTATTCTTTTTTTTTTCATTCTTTCTTTTCTTTCTTCATTTCAATCTTCCTTTTCCTTTCTTTTCATTTCTTTCTTTGTTTCAATTTTTATTTTTCATTTTTCATTTTTTTTTCATTTTTATTTATTCAATTATTTTTCCTTTTCCTTTTCTTTTATTTATTCTTTCCTTTCTTTCATTTTCTGTTTTCATTCTTTTTCTTTCATTCTTTTTTTCATTATTTTTCTTTTTTTTCCTTTCTTTTTTTTTTTCTTTCTTTGTTTTATTTATTCATTTTTCATTTTCGTTTCTTTTTCTTTTTTTTATTTATTCAATGTATCTTTTTTTTTCCCTTTCCTTTCCTTTTATCTTTCTTTCAACCTTTTTTTTCTTTTTTCATTCTTTCTTTCATTCATTCTTCGTTTTTTTTTTTTTATTTATTCAATGTATCTTTTTCCCACTTTCTTTTCTTTCTTTTTATCTTTCTTTTTTCTTTCTTTTGTTTTTTATTCATTTTTCATTCATTCTTCGTTTCTTTCATTCTTTTTTTTTTATTCAATGTTCTTTTTCCTTTCCCTTTCTTTCAACCTTTTATCTTTCTTTTTTTTTTCTTTGTTTTATTTATTCATTCTTTTCATTCATTCTTCGTTTCTTTCATTCTTTTTTTTTCATTATTTATTCAATGTTCTTTTTCCTTTTCCCTTTTTTCTTTCAACCTTTTTATCTTTCTTTTTGTTTCTTTTCTTTTGTTTTATTTATTTTCTTTCATTCATTCTTCGTTTCTTTCATTCTTTTTTTCATTATTTATTCAATGTATCTTTTTCTTTTTCCCTTTCTTTCAACCTTTTATCTTTCTTTGTTTCTTTCTTTGTTTTATTTATTCATTCCGTCATTCATTCTTCGTTTCTTTCTTTCTTTTCTTTCATTATTTATTCAATGTATCTTTTTCCTTTTCCCTTTCTTTCAACCTTTTATCTTTCTTTGTTTCTTTCTTTGTTTTATTTATTCATTCTTTCATTCATTCTTCGTTTCTTTCATTTTTTTTTCATTATTTATTCAATGTATCTTTTTTCACCTTTTCCCTTTTTTTTATCTTTCTTTGTTTCTTTCTTTGTTTTATTTTTCATTCTTTCATTCATTCTTCGTTTCTTTCATTTCTTTTTTCATTATTTATTCAATGTATCTTTTTCTTTTCCCTTTCTTTCAACCTTTTTTATCTTTTTGTTTCTTTCTTTTTTTTTATTTATTCATTCATTCATTCATTCTTCATTCTTTTTTCATTTTTCTTTGTTTTCTTTCTTCATTTTTTATTCATTTTTTTTCTTTCAATTTTTTTTTCAATTTTTTCCTTTTCTTTCTTTGTTTTTTTTTTTCATTCTTTTCATTCATTTTTCGTTTTTTTCTTTTCTTTCATTATTTATTCAATGTTTCTTTTTCCTTTTCCCTTTCTTTCAACCTTTTATCTTTCTTTGTTTCTTTCTTTGTTTTATTTATTCATTCTTTCATTCATTCTTCGTTTCTTTCATTCTTTTCTTTCATTATTTATTCAATGTTTCTTTTTCCTTTTCCCTTTCTTTCAACCTTTTATCTTTCTTTGTTTCTTTCTTTGTTTTATTTATTCATTCTTTCATTCATTCTTTTCTTTCTTTCATTCTTTTTTTTTCATTATTTATTCAATTATTTTTTTCCTTTTCCTTTCTTTTACCTTTTGTCTTTTAATTTTCTTTTTTTTGTTTTCGTTTCTTCATTCTTTTACTTTTTTCTTCGTTTCTTTCATTCTTTTTTCATTATTTATTCAATCATTTTTTTTCTTTTCATTCAAAATCTTCGTTTTTCTTTCTTTTATTTTTTTTTTTTTTCTTTCTTTCTTTCTTTTTTTTTTTTTTTCTTTCTTTTTTCATTCTTCATTTCTTTTCATTTTTTTTTTTCTTTATTTTTTCATTCTTTCTTTTTTCTTTTTCTTTTCTTTCAACCTTTTTTCTTTCATTTTTTTCTTTTTTTTTTTTTTTCATTTTCTTTCATTCTTTTTCGTTTCTTTCTTTGTTTTTTTCATTCTTTTTTTATCTTTTTTCTTTTCCCTTTTTTCCTTTTTCTTTCTTTTTTTTTTTTTTTTCTTTCTTTGTTTTATTTATTCATTCTTTCATTCATTCATTCGTTTCTTTCTTTCTTTTTTTCATTATTTATTCAATGTATCTTTTTCCTTTTCCTTTTTTTCAACCTTTTTTCTTTTCTTTGTTTTTTCTTTTTTTTATTTATTCATTTTCATTCATTTTTCTTTCTTTCTTTTTTTTCATTATTTCCCTTCAATGTTTTTTTTCTTTTCCTTTCTTTCAGAACCTTTTTCTTTTCTTTTTTTCTTTTTTGTTTTATTTATTCATTCTTTCATTCATTCTTTTTCTTTCATTTTTTTTCTTTTCTTATTTATTCATTGTATCTTTTCCTTTTCCTTTCTTTCAACCTTTTATCTTTCTTTGTTTCTTTCTTTGTTTTTTTTATTCATTTTTCATTCTTCGTTTCTTTTTTTTCTTTTTTTCATTTTTATTCAATGTATCTTTTTTTTCTTTCAACCTTTTATCTTTCTTTTTTTCTTTCTTTTTTTTTTATTTTCTTTCATTTCATTCTTCGTTTCTTTCTTTCTTTTTTTCATTCTTTCAATTTTTTCCCTTTCTTTTCAACCTTTTATCTTTCTTTGTTTCTTTTTCCCTTTCATTCCGTCATTCATTCTTCGTTTCTTTCTTTCTTTTTCTTTCATTATTTCTTCAATGTTTCTTTTTTTCCCTTTTCTTTCTTTTTTATCTTTTTTCTTTCTTTCTTTCTTTTTTTTTTTCTTTGTTTTATTTTATTCATTCATTTTTTTTTCATTCTTTTCTTTTCTTTCTTTCTTTTCTTTCATTATTTATTCAATGTATCTTTTTTTCTTTTTTTTCTTTCAACATCTTTTTTTTTTTCTTTGTTTTTTATTTATTCATTTTTTCATTCATTCTTCGTTTCTTTCTTTCTTTTCTTTCATTATTTATTCAATGTTTCTTTTCTTTTCCCTTTCTTTCAACCTTTTTTCATCTTTCTTTGTTTCTTTATTTGTTTTATTCATTTCATTCTTTCATTCATTTTCTTCTTTTCTTTCTTTCTTTTTTTCATTATTTATTCAATTTTTTTTCTTTTCCTTTCTTTCAACCTTTTATTTTCTTTTTCTTTCTTTCTTTGTTTTATTTATTCATTCTTTCATTCATTCTTCGTTTCTTTCTTTCTCTTTTTTTCATTATTTCTTCAAT